ATAATTAACCACAGTGTTTTTGTTGTCAAGTAATGTAGTTAATGTATGAACAATTAAAATGTTTTGATTATTGAGAGTATTACGGCTGCCACTGTCTGTATTATAGGGAAAAAATGGTAGGGGTGGCCGAAGGGGTGGCCAATGTTTGGCTATGGGTGGCCATGGCCACCTCTGGCCCCCCATCTAGCTCCACCCCTGATAACAAGCCATTCTCAAGCGCGTCCAGGCTCATTCATGAGCTTATATACCTATTACCAAAAATGAAGACTGTTTAATTAAATGATTGGATGCAAACTATTGGTACTTCCACATACCAGGATATCTATTTTTTTCTAAGAGGCTTAAAAGTTTAATCAAATCCAGTCAAAACGCCCAAGAGCGCCTCTCACAACTTCAAAAGAAACAGCTCATCTCAGGCATGGATGAAGAGATGCTGAGTTTGGAAGCAGAGAACAAACAGAGTTCATCCAAACCATGGATGATCCTAGTTATCCCTGTTACAAAAATCCACAACAAAACGAAAATATTTGGGTAGAAACTGAACACATGCTGGATGCTGATGGTGTGATGGTGGGGATTTTTTTTATATGTCATTGTAAATTAAGCGTGCATTTCTGCATGTTTTGCTCCTGAATTTAATAATAATATCACGCATGCTCTCCTTGAGCTCCGAGGAAGTCAGAGCAGAGCAAGACAGGATAAGTAGTCTGTCCCCCTAGAAGATGTTTGGCTCAATGGTCCATGAGTTATCTTTACTACTGACCACAGAGATGAAAGCCAATTTTACTCCATAGTGTTATATTAAGTATAATATTAAGGATACAGTTGGTATTTTTGGTTATTTAAGCCTATTCTGGTTTTATTTTGGTTTATTAACTGCAATTTTATCAGGCCAGCTATTGTTATTTCAATAAATTAATACTAACTGTATGTGTGCAACCCCATCACTAAAATGGACCTACAATGAATTAATATCCACTTAATGTTATGGCTCATTGGAAAGTAGCCATTGTGTTGATATTATTTATCTATGGTAGGAGATCACTAGGCTATTAGGCCTGATCCCAACACTGCACAGCTCTGCCATGTTTCCTACTGGTGGCGTTGATCATATTTCTGCTCCTCTTCTGATTGAATATAAGCAGAGACCCTCCATTCTATGGACCATGGTGTAATGAGGGGTCTGTCCCTGGATCAATCCCTGACGAAATAGCAGAGGTCCCTGTTGGTCTGCACAGACCATTGAGCCAGAGGCCCTTTTGGCGAGATGGACCACTCATTACACAGTGGTCCGGACCACTGATTCAGACACCTGAGTGGGGCAGACCAATCATTTTTGGACACTGCTGTTGATAAGTATGATCTTTGGGTAGGCCTATTAAAGCAGCATGAAGAAAATAGGAAATGAAGAAGGATATCAAAGAACCTTTTAGTGATACAAGCACTCAGGATATTAAAAGGATTATCAATTAACAGTAAGTCCAATAACACACAGTTGTAACACACATACCGGTAATGTTAATATATTCATTAATTACAAGGTGCAACAGGTAACCAATTGTATGAACCAAAATCAATAAGAATACATATTTAAACAAAGACCAAAAATTAGGGTGTCAGTTGAAAAATTATGGAGTAGGAATTGCCACTGAGCCAGGCGCCTTCTATGGGGGCAACCACTCATTACACTACGGTCCTTAAAGGAATAGTACACCCAAAACATGATTAGCCTTCATTTTCTACTC